AATTTCTTCTCTGAGAGGGTTGTCAAGCATTGGAACAGGCTGCCCAGGGAAGTGGTTGAGTCACTGTCCCTGAAGGTATTTAAAAGGTGTGTAGATGTGGTGCTTAGGGACATGGTCTAGAGGTGGACTTAGCGGTGTTAGGTTAACGATTGAACTCAATCCAACTAAAACGATTCTGTGAAGAAGGCTTTTTCCTTCTGAAGTAAGGATAGTACTGCTGCTTTTAGAACTGCATAAAAGCAGGATAAAAGCCTACATTTGTTAATCCTGTTAGTATAATTTACTGTGTCATTTGTCTAACACAGCATGATTTGGCTATTATCAAATTACATCCTCATGAGAAAAGTCTTTAAACTGGCCACTGCCAAAAGAGACTGCTCTCCTTCCTCATCCCAACCATCCCCCTGTAGCTTCCTCTGTGCCAAATCTGGCATCTACCTAGCCCCATAGCGAGCTACTCTGGAAGCTGAAGTGGCAGAAACGCTTCCCCCTCAGGGTGTGGTGCCTGCTGTGGTGGTGTCTGGTGAGAGCCGATACAAAGCAGAAAGTGCAGAGTGTAGGCTTGAGCTGTGCGTGGCAGCCATCGGACCGGCTGTATCATAGACTTGTACCCTGCCCTTCTTCCCATGACTGAGGGTGTATCCCGTAGGATGAATGGTTAGGTAGGCTGGATCTTTGGAGAAACAAATTTGCTTCAGCCTGAAGAATTCAAAAAGGATTGTTTAATTTCCTATGCTTTGACCCCGTTGAATCGGCATAGTGTACTGTTAGGGATTATGCAATGTGTGAGCTGTAAAACGGGATCTGTGGGTTGGTTTCTGTATCTTTAGATAAGTATGTAAACATAGATTCTGGCTATTAGCAGGTTATTTTTTCTGCAGTTTCCTTCAGCGGTGTTAAATCTGGACTGGAAAAGAAGTACACTTTACTTGTGTCCAAAGAGAAATCTGGTGATGCAACATGTATTCAGAGTGTGAACTAGACTCCCCAGGCAGTGTTTAGATGCTTTGAACATGTTATGAAAACTTACTTCTTGAGAGGTAGAAGAGGAGGAAACAGATAGAGATAGCTGAGAACACTCCACTGAGAGATTTAGGTTGACATTCACACGTTTTCCTTCTTCAGACAATGGATGATCTGATTTAAAGGCTGCACCAAACACAACCACCTGCGGCTTTCCTGCATGACTTACCAGTGCTTTGTACCTGCATTGGTCTAAATGCCCGTCTAGACTGAAGGTGAAAAAACATCATCATGGCAGTAACTCCTCCTTTTGCACACAACAGAATTTCCTCCTGTAAAGCGCTTTTAAGTAGGAAACACAGCTGCAATCTTCAGTTACAGGTGCAAGGCACACTTTGCAGAGAAATAGCATCTTTTATTTACAAGTTGGTGTAATTACTAAAGACAGAAAAGCTTTCAGGCCCACAAGCACTTTTTTGGGTGTGAAGCAGAGGCAATGAATTTAATGCAAGCTGAGGTCAGGGACAGTTTTTCTTAAGGAGTGGCTTATCCATGCAGGTTAGACCTTTTAGCAGCTAGTTGCTGTCCAGAGAGGCAATCTGCCCTTTTCCCCTCTCTTGTCAGCACTGGCACTTGTGTGGTTCCATAACAAGACAACTTATGGTGGAAAGCAAATCTTGCAGAATAACTATTTTCAAATTTTTCAATAACTTCAAAGCTATTAAAAAATAAATTCAAAGCTATTTATAAAGCTACTCACCCTTTGGGGGGCAGACACAGTTTTTGAGCTGTAACCATCTCACCACGGGGTAAGGCAAGTGCTACTGCAGATTCAAGGAACACAGCTTTAATGTGTGGGTAGGGGCAGAGGAGGGAGCAAGCCCCCTTCAGCAGCAGTTGGCCATTGGGCCCATTTAGTTGTAGCAGCTCCTTGTAGCCACGCAGTTATTGAACTTTAATTGTGCCGTTTCAGTAAGCTAAGCCAACAGGAAACAAAGGAGAGTGAAGGAAAACTGTAAACAGGTTTTAACTGATTAAGTGCACTGAAACTGCTGAGAAGGACCAGCACAAGTGGAAGAATGGGACCTAGTGGTAGTGGTGATGAGAGCGAGTGACAGAAGTCAGATGGGGCAGCCAGAAATAGGGAGTATCTCCCTGTGAAACATCTTAGTGGTGCAAAAAAGTGGCACATCAGAAAAAGAAATTGACTGTGCTAGAAAATATATTTCTGAAAAGGCGAAGATTGATACAGTTCCTGGTGACAGCAGAAGGGGGAAGTTAGGGGTGGAGTAATTGTTTGGTGAGACATGTTTTCTTACTCTTCAGCGAGTCTTTCTGCTCTCCACTGGTTGCTCACATGCTCCCTCTGACAGATGCACGGGTGGTTGTATTCATCCGCAGTTTGTCTTGGGGTGTTGCATTCGGTGTTTCCAGTTTGCTATGAGGTGGGTACCTGCAGGTTATGCGAGTTATGCATGTTGCAGAGGCGCACAGCACGATGCTGCCCTGGCAGTTGTGAAGATTGTTTGGCAGATAGGTTTTGCGTTTGTTGCTCTAGCATGGAGGCTTTTCCCTCTCACATTCTGTTTCTCTGTTCTTCCTTCATATGTTAGTTGTTCACTACATATATCCCAGGCATTTCAGAAAAGTGGGAGATACCAAGCTCCAGAACAACATTTTTTTAACCTAATAATGTTGTTTTACTATCAACAGTAGCCACTATTCCATTGAACTCTCCTAGATGGCTTCATAACTATGGCACAAGAGGAAGGGTATAATTTGTGGTCTACTTTTGGACTAAGGTTTGCTTGGGAGCATTAATCTGTACATGTTGTAAACAGCTTTGGAATTAATTCTCTGGTGGCAAGCTGGAAACAAGGCACAACTAGTAAGAGCTGTCTTACATCACAGCATCGCTTTCCTTCCTTCTCTGCAAAACTACAGAAGAAAAAATGGCTTAAATAACGTGGAACTATGAAAGGCAGTTCCAGCTGAAGTGAAGTTGGCTGCTGAATAGGTTTGCTTATTCTGATTTAGCTGTGGTGCCTCCTAAATATTTAAATCAAATATAGAAAGCAATTTGACTATAAGAGTAAATGGCTCAAAAGCTTTGGGTCACTATAAAAAATGTCTTAACGATATAGGAAAAACAACGTTCAATTTGCTTGGGAGTTTCTAGAGTTACTGTTCTCACCTGGCTTACTGGTAGAGTTAGCGGTTGTTGTTTTGGTAAGGTTTGCAAAATGTGATTTCTCACTCAAATTTTTTAAAAGTCAAATCATTCAATCGGATGTTTTTTCTTGGCAAATCTCCACTGTGTTTGATTCCCTTCTCCCCTGTTCTTATCTCATTGTTGCTAGGCTGCCCAGAGGGTCAAGCAAAAGATTAGTTACATGTTAGTGACATGGACAGTGGGGTTGAGTGCAAAAAAGACACTGTGTTTTGCCTGTTTTAATGCTCTCAGTTCTAGTTTACTATGCTCAGTTTGACTTTTTTTCCCCAGCATCTTTTTCTTTTTTGAGCTCTCACATTTACAGCTACACATGTGAGAAGACTGTATGCAACATAACAGCTTTAGCTGCAATTCCTATAGCCATATTGTTAGGATGAAGAGATGTAACAGTATACAGCTACAGACTGCTGAATCTGTGAACGTGAATGACAATCCAAATACATGAGAGGTAAGGAGTACCAAAAGTTTTATTAATACATTTGAAGAAGTGGAAGGAAGCAAAGTAAACATTTCTGGAGTGAAACTGTAACGACACTTTCCTTTTTTATGTCTGTTTTTCCTATTCCTATATTCAACATACTGTTTTCCTGTGATTCACGCTGTGAAACATTTAAAGGATAGAGAAGATCCTCCTTGCATAAGGATCACTGATTATGTTACAAATATACCCTAAAAAAATTGACAATTTGAATCATGAGAACCGTATGAATCATCTTAATAGAGT